GAGACACTTAGTTTAGTGCAATACTTGGAGGGTGCCTCCAAGGAGTGAACGTAGGTCAAGGTTTGACCAAACCACTATAAATCCGGTGTGTTCTTTCTTTATTACTTCCGCATTTTAATTTCCACATTTGGTTTTCTTTGTGGTGTTTTGGTTTGTAGTTTTGTTTTAAAACATTTTTAACAACCAATTCACCTCTCTCTTAATTAGCCTCGGGCCAGTTCTTAAGGGCCTAACATCCCTAACGAACTTTCTAGTGCCATCAAAGCACTTTCAGTACTTACCTTTTAATATAATTATTTTACCTTAGTACTGCCTCTACTCCCATCTATAAATAGAGTCTAAGGAATAATTTTTTAATTCAAAGCTCTCCACTTTTTTAGCAATAAAGTATCCATGAATGGGCTAAATGGGTCAACCTGGGTTGACCTGGTCAACCAGGTTGACCCAAGGCAAGGGTATGGGCCCAATAGGTTGGATCTGACCCATTGGGTCCATGGGAGGTGAGATTTGAGCCAAGAGAGCACTATAAGAGATTTGAAATCAAGTAAAGGTGATTTTGGTCAATTTGGGTTGACCTGATCAACCATGTTGACCCAGGGCAGGGGTCTGGGCCTAATAGGTTGGGTCTGACCAACTGAGTCCAGGGGAAGAAAGAATTGAGCCAAGAAATGTTGGAATTGAATTTTAAACCAAATGGAGAGGGTATGGGTCAATTTGGGTCAACCCAGGTTGACCCAAGGCCTGGGTCTGGGCTCAGCAGACTTGGTTTGACCCATTGAACACAAAGGTGGTGGTCTTGGGGTCTGGCTTGGTTAATTTGACTAAGTCAACCCCTCTAACCCAAGGGTTTAGGATAAAAGGAATGTTAACATTGCTTATGCAATCTTATGGCAAAAGAAGAATAACCTACCAATGATGAGGGACTTTTTTCTTACTATGTAATGCTAAGGTATGGACTTCAAACTTTTGTTGTTATGTTATCATAAAGTAATTGCTATTTTAGAATTGAAATTGCATGATTTTCCTAGGGCTTATTTGGCATCACTTTTTCCTTTTTTTATTAATGAATATATTTGGTTAGTATCTTTTTTTTTTTTTTTTTTTGAAAACAAGTAATTTTTTAAAAAAAAATCTCAAAGCAACTTTTAGATAT